CAGGTTGAAAATACAAGACAGATAATGCATCGTATTATAGATGTCATAAAATTAATAGGAAAAAGAGGACTTAGCTATCGCAATAGAAATAATGAAGCCGCTTATACATTAAATGATACCTCTTTGGACCATGGCAATTTTTTGGAAATTATTCTCCTGCTAAGTAAATATGATGAAGTTATAAAATGTCACTTAGACAAGGTTATAAAAAAGAGTACTAAGAGTCACAACAAAGGTTCTTCTCAAGGAGGTGGGGTTATTACACTTTTGTCAAAAACCACTATTAATTATATTATTGAAGCTATCTGTCAAAAAATCAAATTTTTAATGTCTGAAGAAATTTTAAAGGCCGGTATGTATACCATTCAACTGGACACAACTYWAGATATATCTGTTGTTGATCAATGTTCGGTTATTATTCGTTATGTCAGTGGCACTAATATTCACGAAAGACTAGTTGGTATGGTCAAATGTACTTCTAGTAAAGGAATTGATATGGTTGAATTAATTTTGAAGGTTTTTAATAGTTTGAACTTGGATCCTAAAAAGTGTGTTGGTAATGCTACTGACGGCGCAGCAAATATGCAGGGTGAGTACCGTGGATTTTCTGCTCAGCTGAGTAATGTAGCAAATAAACAAATACATATATGGTGTTACGCTCATGTTTTAAACTTGGTTATTGGTGATGTAACCAATAAAATTCTTCAGTCTATTAATTTATTTGGAATACTCAATGGATGTGCTGTTTTTATTAAAGAATCTCATAAGCGTATGGATGTGTGGACTAATAAAGAAAAGAATAAACGAATATGTTCTATAGGAGAGACTAGATGGTGGTCTAAACATAGTGCGTTATCTAAAGTGTTTGGTCATTTCAAACGTCCAGAACCTGGTCTATTTGTGGAACTTTTAACTACATTAATTGAAATTAAGAATGACGTTTCTATTACAGCTGATGCTCGGTATAAAGCAATAGGGTTAATAGAAGGATTATGCAAGTATGAAACTATTTTAACGGCACAAATTTATTTGCGGATTTTTCAAAAAACCACGCCACTTTCTAAGTATTTACAAGGTCATGGAATAAATATGATGACATCTTTTCAAATGGTTCAGGCAACACTTGAAGAGCTTAAACTTGATGCACGTGACTTCTCAAGTGTCAAGGAAGCAGMAGACAATTTTGTTACTTGGGCAAATAATAAATTAGAAGTTGAAGAATGTGAAGTAGAAGTTAGTCATAGTTTTCCAGAAACTAGGAAAAAAAAAAAAACAAGGCAATTTTCCTATGAATCAACTGATGATCCAATAGATGACCCTCTGCATGCATTTGAAGTCAATGTCTATAATTTAATTCTTGATAAAATAATAGAAAGTATTTCATCTAGATTTTCATTGCATGGTCAACTTTTTGCAGACTTTTCATACCTTGATCCAAACAATTTTAAAGTAAACATRCCTCTAMCTACAACAGCTTTGTCAAGCATATATGATAAAATAGTTCATTTTATCCCAGAAATCACTTATGACACATTAAAGGATGAATTTACAGACTTTATGTCTAAGTGGAGTGAATTCAAAAAGACAATTTTTTGTGAAAATTATGACTACACTGAATATAACTCTGATAACGAATGTGATGACAATGATGAAGAAAAATGTCCCCATACTGCAGCTGGCGACAAATATTGTGTGGTTTGCATTTTTAATTTTTTAGTGAAGTAT